AACTGGCATTTAATGTATTAAGAAAGTTAAGCTGACAATTTTGGAGATTTTTTCGCCAAAAGTTAGTGAATAGGCACCAAACAGGAATCTCTTTTCTTATTAGAAAAATGCTCAAATATTGAAATAAATTCATATGGTTATGAGATAATGAGTTCTTGAGCTTTCTTTTCTAATTATTTTAAATGTATATTTAGAAAATCAGCAATTTTTCTCTATCTTTCAAGACGAATTTGTAATTATTAAAGTGTAATAGATAATGCATGTGTGTGTATAATACGCTACACGTACTGTAAACTATTGGTTGATAAAGACAGAATTGAGGAAAATAGCTTTCTTTCTGCATACATTTGTGAAGTCATTATATAGACACACCGAAAAGCCATTACTTTCTGACCACCTCTTACCAAAAGCAATGAGCTCGCCAAGAGACAGAACACGGCACACGTGTAACTGATCCTGGAATATCTTTCCTTACGTACAGAATGTAGCAAAATAATGAGAAAAGCAGCTGATTTATCATTTTTTTATTATGGTTAGTTTGTTGTGGTTCACTACTTGGGACAGCGGTTCTTAAATTTTCAATCGCACACACACAGTGCCCCGCCCTCCTTTATGTATCAGCGTGACATCGTGGACCCCCAAGATTTTGAGCATCCCTTCCTGACTTAATATTCTTGATCAAAGTCCATGTTCCAGTAGAGTTTTTTCATAGCGGACAATTTTATGATCTCTTGTAGTATGGCACATCTTTCAGTTTTCCGCGAGGTCTTTCAGAGTCTGTAAAAGAGAGAAATCTCAACGTTACATGATAGACTCCAAGGACCTCCTAGAAAGACGCTGCAGACCCCCAGGGATCCGCGGACCACAGTTTAAGAACCGCTGCCTTGGAGCATCGATTTCAAAAACTGCATGTTCAATAGGTTGCTTATGTGCAGCTTTTGTGAGTACTTATAAAAGGTTGGAAATGGTACATTGATTTCAGAGGAAAGCGGGAGTATTGTTTGTCATGACTAAATCGCTGCAACGGCTGATATCACCAGCAGCTACATTAGCGGCGCCCTTAACAATGTGTCTCAACATACAGTGCAGCATACATTGTTTCGTATGGGCTTATGCAGCCGGTACACGAATCGCGTCCTGCACTGCCAACGCGTTGTCACCAATGGTGCTTACAGTGGGCCATGAAACATTGGCATTGAAGCATAGAAAAGTAGAAGAAATTATCTGGTCAGAGAAACTCGTTTTCTGGTAAATCACATTGACGGGTGAGTGCGAATAAGCTGATTTACCGGGATGCAGACACCTGATACAAGGCGGGGGAGGCAATGTTTTGATGTGGCCGATGTTTCCACGGAAACGTCTACGCGCTATGTGAGCATCATTGCAGACCAGGTACACCCCTTCAGAACTACAGGGTTTCCGGTGGGTGATAGCGTTTACCAATAGAATAGGGCATCATATCACAAGAGTCAAATCGTCAGGTTCGAGATACTTAGTGGTGAACTCCAGTTTTTTGGCCTCCGAATTCACCTAACATGATTATAATCAAACTTGTATGGTTCCTCCTGGAATTCGGGATGCCTCTCTATTACCTTGCTATGTGTGGCTCTTTCTAGACCGCATTGTGAGTGCCTGGTACCCAGATGCTTTAGGCAATCGATCAATACCTTATAGATTTAATGATTTGCCAAGTGTGACGAATTTTAGGATTTTTCATGTTAAACCGGTGCCCTCCCCCTTAAAAAAATTTAACAGCTCTTCAGTATATATATTGTGTACAAAAAGCAGTATATTCCTTTTTCTGAAAAGACGTTTTTTGCTTGGGTGCTGTTCTGTAAAATTAGAGAGGAGACCCCTTTAATTTAAGTACATATGAAACACATAATACAACAAAAAAAATTATGAAAGTCAGATTGCTGTTACAATTCGAATTTTGTTATATAATTGTGAACAACTTAAGTAGATATAATTAATTCTCCGAAGCCCCCTTTTGTAAGACTCATTAAAACTTAAATTTAAATTTTTTTAACGAAATTAATGTTATAAATAATAATAATTTAACTAAGCGATGATAGAGCGATGTGCATTTGTTCGTTGTTTTATAATTTTTAAAATTTTATGCAGCTAAGAAGAAAAGTTACGTTTTATCGGTGTAATAAATTAAATAATATCTGAAAAATTTTCATCGTCTTTTGTGTTAATCCATGTCATAAACTATACAAAAAATATCATCATCATCATACAACTGCAGTCCTTCTAGGTAGCGAGAACTGTTGCAATATATTTTTAAGTGCAACTGTCGCATAAAATTTACATTTCTCTAATACGATTATAAAATTTAAATATTTATCATTCTTTTGTTTGTACAGACTAGGTTGTTTGTCGTCTCTTTTGATGCTCTCGCTTCAGAAATCATCAGTTATTCTATTTAGTTTGAATAAAAGAATTCAGCTTATTCTCTAGGGAAATCTGCTTATTAACATGCATGTGAAATTTCAGTAATCATATTTACGTCATTATTATTTTTTTTTTTTACTTTCAAGAATTAAATAAAGAAGTATTTGCTCAAAACAGGATTATTTGTTGTTTATTCACTTTTAGGTTCATTGCTAATCAAATTAGTATTTTGGAATGATTCTTTAAACACATAGTTTTAAAGAAATTTAGTAAAGCAAATGTATTTTTTACGATCATTATATTCTGCCCAATACTTAATTCTTATTCGAATTTCAGATGAAATGCAAAAGTAAACTTCATTTGCAAAATGAAATTGAAAATATTTTGCTATTTAAAACTTAGTAATGATTTAATTTGCTTGCACCTTTTCTGAAAATAATCCATTAATGTTGAAATTTGAAAACATTTTTATGAATTGCAATAAATTATGACATTTTTAAAAATCCATTAATCATTAATCCTTGTTTAAATGCTCACTTTCAATGTTATCGTTTAATGAAGCTATTTTTGAAGTGAAGTGATATTCATCCATTCACAGATTCAATATTTTGCATTATGCCAGGACATTTTTACAAGAATTAGTTTTTGAAAGCAAATAACCAGCCTTTAAAAGTGTTGGGTTTTGATAAGATTGGAAAACTCAGGTGGAATTTGATAAGATTTTATTTTGTTTCTTTTTTTAAAGAATACTGTAAAAGCAAAAAGTACTTAAAGATAAAAGGAAAAATATGACAAAACATGCATTATTTTACATCCGTGTTTGTGAATTAATTATGAAGTTTACAATAAGGAAGATCTCTTCTCTTTCTTATAAGAATAGTCTAGGTTTTATTGCCACATAAATACACCTTAATTAACATTCATTAATAAAACATTTTGCTGTTAATTTCTTGTCTGCCGCCCATCCGGTATAGTGGTTAGTGACGCTGAGTGCGGTGCCGTAGCGACTGGGTTCGAATCCCGTCGAAGACATGGATGTTTCTGTTGTAATCCTACCTTCTTTGTGTTATGTATGTCCCCGTGTGGTGCACGAGGTTTATAAATATCCTCAATAGAAAAAATTTCTTGTCTGTGTGATTGTTAATGTTTCTTACTTTAAATTTTAAATAATTTTCGCAACAGGCATTTTTATAAAAGTAGAAATATAAGGGCATTATTAATTTACGATTATATACATTTAAAAAAAAATGTTACAATTGCTAATGTGCAAAATGCTACAATTGCAAAAAAAAAAATGCTTTTACAATTGCAAAGTTGGTAAATAAAAGGCAAGTTTACGAAACTCACGGGCAAAAATTTCAGAGGTGAGAGAAAATATCTAAAAAAGCAATTTTCGCCTTATAATGCATAAGCGATGTGCAAGCGGTCACCTTCAGTTCCAGCCCAGGCATTTACAGTGGAACACTTCTGATATGAATAAGGACATGTGTGTAATGTGGTTTGCTATATGACCCCACAAGAAATTTGTGAGTATTAGAAGTGCATTCTCGTGTATAGGTGCATTCATTCAGGAATAACACATGCGCACTAAAATAAGGCCATGCTGTTAGCTGTTGCAAAAATGAACATGCAAACTCGACACGTGAAGCATATTCTGCAAGTATCAGGGCTTGCAGTTTCTGTACATATTTATGTAATGCTTCGTTCCGTAGTATTAGCCACACAATTGAATTAGGCTCATTTGAAGTGCAGAAAACCTCTCGCTTGCTAATATTTGAATGATCGTCCTTTTAAAACCCCAGGTCATCTACCCCTTGGCGATGATTATTCACGCCAAAAAGTTGTTGTAATCCTCCTCCCTTGTTTTTGTTTCAAGTGTTTACACTTATCAAATGTATGAACTCCTTTGAAGAGAGTGGCTGGCGCTATAACCAGCTCTGAACCAATCTAACAATTAGTAAATTATAGATTATTAAAAAAATTTTGTTATTGTTAACTTAAATTGTGAATTATTATTTGACATGAATTTATTGACTGAAGAAAATGAACCTGCATATACCATAAAGCCTAAAAACGTCCACTATTTGCAGAAGGTCCTCTACAACGTGTGACCTCCGCAAACTACAGCTCCGTTACTGGCATGCATGATACAGGCTGCCACATACTTTCATGCATGTCAGTTACAAAAAGAATCCTCCACAGGCACCAATATAATCACTCGAACATATTTCGATCTGTTGTGTGTCTTCTCGGGAAATTCTGGCTGCACACCCTTTTTGGTTTCAAGAACATTCCCGTTCGCAAGATCATATATAAAATGCATGACCGCCTTTTTCTTTCTCTCCGAAATCCACGGTAGAAATAATAGTGTGTTAGAGGAGCACGGTTTTTTATATTGTTCACAAATTTTCAATCGTTAATAAAATACTTTTTATTCATCCACTCACGTTCAAATACATTTTTTAAAACTTGCAGTGGATGACACTTGATATTAATACAGTTTTTTCAAAAAAGAATTCATTAATTAAATTTAATTCACGAATAAAAAGAAACAAAAATAATAGTCCAATACCATATATAAAAAGTAAAATTGTTCGTTGTGTTCCTGTAGCGTAATGGATAGCGGATTGGATTTCTAATACAAAGGTAGTGGGTTCGAAATCCACCTGAGAAGGCCCAATTTCTGCGAATGTGATTTCTTTTTAATATACTATTTTTTGGAATAATTAAATAAAATTAATGAATAAATAGTAACAAACAAGAATAAATGTCTAACACCATATATAAAAAGGCAAATGGAAAATTGCAAGAAAAATCGCTTTTTATTTTTCGACTTATTATTGTAATTCTGTCATATGTATACACATTTATATTAATTGTAACTATTTAATAAAAAGTAACTAAAATAAATTTTTTTTCTTGACCTAAGTAGGAATTGATTTTAATCTTTTTTATATGTTACTTGTTTTGTAAATGATATTTCTTCCGATCGTACTGAAAACTAAAATTCTAAGATTTTCAAGCATAACACGACCAGCTAGTACCTCATACTATCTTTAATGAGGAATTTTTGCTGTTTTCTTATAAGTGAATCGATTTTCTCATAAGTGCTTAAATTCCATAATTGTAATAACACATTAAAATCCTATTTGTACTATTATTTTCTTTTCAAAATATGCCATAAGAAAATTCTGCAAAAACCATTTAAAAAAATTGTCAGAAACTAACGAATGTTATTTTAATTATTTTAAGATGCTTAGAACTAATTATTTACTTAAATATTTAATGGTAGCATTAATTTCTCTCCTCTCCACACTTTTAAACTACTTCTCATTAAAATGATTGAAAATAATTAAAAAAAACCTTTCTTTGTATTATTTACCATCCTTTTCTTCATTATTTTTGCCTTAATTAAAAACTTCCCATTGCACAATTTTCTTAATTCTTATTTTTTCAGACTTCTTTAACAAGATTTTTTCATTGAAAATATTCTAAACAGTGTAGGGACGTTCCAGAGGTATTTTAAAATCGTTCACCCTCTACTCTAACGAGGTGCCATTTCCTTACGGTCACAGATTATAAATAAAAACTCCCCATATTCCAATAAAGCATTCGACCGTAAATGTAAAAGTAAACAATACGAAAAGTCAAGGGAGGAGACAGAACATCGCTTTTCTTAACGACAAAAGTGGAAAGTAAATAATAAATAGTGCATTTTCCTGGCCTCCCATTGGTGGAATCGTAGTCACGTGAGTGTAATTTACGCTTTTGAAATCGGAAGTGATTTCTGACGTTGAAAATGGTTTTCGATATTAACGAGAAACAGTTACAGCTGGGTAAATTTTCGCTTTTATAGCTGCTTTCTTCAGTTAAATTGATTTCTTTGAACTATTTCTCGGAATTGTGACTCCAGAAAAAGAAAAGAAACGAGAAAGAGATTTTTTATTTTAATTTTATTCAGTACGTTTTTTGGCTTTGATATACTTATGTTCAATAAAAAATGATTCTTAATTTTATATTCAAATGTTTTTAATGGGTTTAAGTTTTTAAAAAATGACAGAGAGAGAGAGAGATTTCTCAGTAAAGAATGCTTTATATTGTAAAAAAGATGCTGCTGGCAAAGAAACATTAAACTTGTAATAATATTCATTGTGAATTAAACTCAAAGTAGAGATTCCAATTCATTGGTATAGCTGACCTAAAAGATTGCAATTCACCTTTGCAAGCGAAGCTTACTGCAAGCGAAGTTTTTCTACGAAACGGTGGCATACTTTGTGAGCAGCTCCCACTTCATTTTGATCTATTCGCAAACCAAAATATGCATAACATAATGTTTTGATGAAATCTGTTGCATTGCGTTGGCCCTGGATTGTATACTGAAACAAAAGTAGTGTGGACTGGTAACACAACGACGATGCGACTTTTTTTCAAAATGTTCTTTTGAACCTCAAAAAATGATTTTAACCAGTTTTTTGCAACTTGGTGACCTAGTAAGAATTCTGCCTGAGCGCCTAAAGGTGTGGGAGAATTGGAAGGAAGACTAGCCATATTTCTAAAACAATCTTAATTTATCCACATTAATAGCCACAACTCAAGTTTAAGCGATCAAGGCTAAGAGATGCACCCAATTAATAACTATGCCGACAATTAACGAGGTACGCGAGATATGAGAAGACTTGAATACTTAATACACTTACTCAAGGCAATAGCTCTGACTTCATAGCTATTTAATCTAGATTCAATCTCCAGTGACAGATCGTCGCCCTATGTAATTCCACAATCAAATGTTAAACATTTGCGACTCACATTCGATTTGATTAATCACTACTCCGCTAGCAATCTATCCTGTTTTTCACTCTAACTTAAAAGCCTAGACTACATATAGTAGTCTTAATTTACATAATCACACCTTCGTCTTCGAGGAAGAGTTGTATAATAAAATAATTTTTAAAAACCGGAAATTTCCCCAGAGGATTATTAGTGAGAAGGTCGCGGATAGAACAGTCTCAACCTAAGTGAGTGCTTTCACTGTAAGTAATCCAAATGGACTAAGAAATTAAGCAGAAAAATTGGTTCCACCAGTTCTAGATAAAGCAAGTTTAATCTGCATTCAGAAGGAATGCAGATTGAACTTGCTTTAGTCAGAAGGTGACTACTGAGACAATATAAGTACATGCCTGTCTGAACAGGCTGTGTCCGGAGCTTCAAGCCTACACTACCTACTGATGGAAACAGTATTCAAAAATAACGTGACACAGAATATTACATAGAAAGAAAGCATTAAAAAATTTATGCAAGTCTAATTTGTGTACATTCTGTGACGTTTGAGAAAATTAATGGTAGCGTGAGAGTTAAGAAATTAAATAATTGGTTTATTTACGTCGTAGCTATCAATTACTGTATATGCATTTACACATTAAAGTTATTCCTGCTATAGATTATTTCATTAGAGTTCAAAATATGTTATTTGGGAGGGAGGAGGCAATACAATCGTTTTCTTCCGTGTTTTCAACGGAATCTCCTTCCACTTTGTTCGGGTCGGGCGATTCCTTCTTGATATCTCGATTTGTACTCGGAGTTTCCAACTCGCAGGGGGGGAATGCAGCCGTTGGGCTTCTTACGACCATCGATTTCGGGGCGATGTCAGATAGACAAGAAGTCCCTGCAATACTTAGGGGTGCACATGTGCATGGGAACGCTGTTATCCTATCCACAAAATGAAGCCGATTTTTCAGCTGTGTGACGCGAAATCTTCACAATGCGGAACAAAACTGATACAATAATCTATAGTTTTGAAAAAAAAATCGATACGGATAGAGAAAAATGGACCTCATTTTTGGTTTCAACACACAAAAAACATTAAGATTAGTCAAATTTATCAAACCAAATTTTGGGTTGTATATAGAGCTTGTAACAATGGTATATTCGTGAGGTCTACCCTCAGTAACTCAAGTTTTTCGGTTCAGCCAAATTAGCATTTTGAGGTAGAACATCTCCATTCTCCAAATGAACATCACTACTAAATAGCAAATAAATAGTCAGAGAGAGAGAGGGAATGCTATGATGTGGAGAATATTGAGACATCAGCGAGGTATAGTCCTGTATTTTGGTCGCGTTTGAAAGGTATTTTAAAGATTTTTTCTTAGGTGAGTTTCAGAGGCTGCATCTCATTTCTGATTAGTACATGTTATTTTGTATTTATTGTCTTGCTTGCATACCGCGTACTTAATTCTAACGATTAAATTAAGAAAAGTAAGTTATTGTGAACATCAGTCGTTATTCTTTTGAGTCTGATTTAGTAGCTTTGCAGTGGCACCTCCTTCTGCAAGTCGCAAATAACAAAGGGCAAGAATAAAAACCTTTAACGACTTTCCGGAATATGGATTCCTTTCGTCTCAGAGATCAAAGGCATGCACTTTGAACCCGAAGGTGATTAGTTTAAATAAAACTGCACCCAAGCAGCACTAAAGGTCACCATAGGTCTTCCTCCCCTCCGTCAACAACAGCTTGTCGCCGAAGTGGTGACCCAGGAATTGAAAACCAGATTGCTGCACAGCCTAACGATATTGGTTGACTATACATTTATTCCATAGAGAGTCTAACTAAGACATTCTCATTAAATCACAATTTGTGATTCAAAACGACAATGGCGCACGCGTCAACTAGATCCGCCATCTCAGCAAGAGATTGCCGGTAACATCAACGGAAAAACGTTCCAACGACACTCAAACCTGCTGGAGGTATATAACAAGAGCAGTAAATGGCTGGAAAAACAACATTCTCTCAGAATCGTTCAGTAAGTAAAAAAAGTAACTTTCTTCTCTGGGAAGGGGGTAAGCAGTGGAGCCTCCTTATGCAAATTGCAAACAGCAAAGGACAGGAATAAAAGCTCTTAACGACAGACCCGAATGGGGATTTCTTTCACCTCAGTCGTCAAAGGCATGCACTACGTAACTGCGGTAGGTCGGTGGATCAAATAAACACCCCTGCCAAGGCCAACAGCTTGTCACCGAAGCCTCACAATCTCTACTGGGTCAGGATCTTCCCCCCTTTGGGGAACCTCAGCGATTGACAAGATATCCTTCTCAACCAACACAAAGAAGTAATATTGCTACAACCTGTGTAATTTTTCTTTAAAAAGCAATACAATTCCCAATATTAGTCTGATCTACCGAAATGAGACTGCATGTTAAATTAGAAAATTCAGCTCACTTTCAGCTTTATGCGTACTTGTATAAATATCATCGAAAAACGAACGTGGTCTTGGTGGTATAAGTAGAATTGATAAAATAGAGTAAAATCATATTTTTGAAGGTGGAAAAAAGTTCCTAAACATGAGAATAAACATCGCATTGCAGTTAAATGAAATTAAAGGATAAATAATGAAATTTTCCATCTTTCTGGAAAACTTTTTAAATTATAATTTGTTACATTTTAACTTAAATCCTCTTTTTTTTTAAATAAAAAAGTAGTTGAAAAAAAATAGGATAAAGTACCTTCACACACAATACTAAAAAGGACTTCAGTAGAATCAAAAATTTATATAAATATCGTTTGTTTATTTGAAATCTTTTTCTTTTTTCGAAAAGTTCAGATATTGTCAAATTATTATTTTTATTTTAGTCCGAAACGGAAAATATAAATATATATTCTATATCTCTTATTTGGACAATA